TCATTCCCACCCTCTTCAAGAGGTTTTGTCCTCAAAACTTGCTTACCTGTATCAAAAGGATCCAAGTCAGCATCATTAAATAGGTAAGTTGTATTTTCAATACCTTTTTCGGGGTTTTTCTTGTGGGGTTTGCCACGTATATGAATTCTTTGCTCCTGCGCCTTTCCGCGTTCGAAGGGTTTGTCATTCTTGATATCCATGAGTCCGGGGTTTGGGCTAGTCATTCCTTGTGGGATTGAACTCGTGGTTTCTGTCCTTTTATTCAAGCGAATTCCCTTCTCCCGAGTTACCCGTGAATCAAGATTTGTTTCTAGGGAAGCAGATGTGTTAATGCAGCAAGTGTCCACGAGGAATTGTTTGTAAAAGCATTCCATTTGTATCGTTTCCTTTCCTTGCTCAAGCTGCACTATATGATCATTAAAATAAGAGTCATAAACAAGAATGTAAAGAGGAACGAATGTACCGGTATCATCTCCTAACGTGTAGCCTATGAGACTCGTATGCTTATCGGGCGGCCACTTTAGATGTTCCTTGGTTATCATGTAGTCCTTCAGTCCAGCGGCATTGATCCCAAATTCTTGTCTGTGTGTCTCATGTTGCGGAAGTTTGGTTGTGTGCAGTACGGTATAGTCATTGCATATTTTCTGCAATGTCATCGTGGACTTTTCAAGTAAGGCTTCCTTTGACATTTCGTCCAAGTTTTTCTCGGTTTCTTTGGCGGTCTCTTTTTGGTCATCCTCCGCTTCTTGAGGTCCCTTTTCAAGTATGACTTCATTTTCCTCAGTCACCACTATGGATTTGTCCTCTGAACCGTCCGTCATAGTCATTTCTCGATGCTCGAGATATTCATGTCCTTGTTCCCGGTGTTCCTGACACGCGAATTTATACGCCCTAAACCTATCAAGAGCTTCATCCTTTGAATGCAACAAAAACACGTAGCAAAACCGACAAGAAAACGTGAAGAAGAAGATGAACGAAAGCTTTCGGGAGAGTTTTTGCAAGAAACTTCCGAAAGTGCTCTCAAAATCTCTCAAAAATGGAATAGATCTCGTCCCCAACTTATTCAGATGTCTTTAGTATATAAACACCAAAGAACATCACCAAAAGTTGCAAAATCTGCAGTTATTACGCGAAGAATCGCATCAGTTCGTATATAACTGACATGGTCCGAGTTACACTTGATACAACACGAAGTACTTCTCACAGACTTTTGACTCAGATCGAGTTCCACGGGCGACGGATGATGGATTTCCAACGATGGGAGGTCGGTAAGGTCATGTATGTTCCCCCCTCATACACGATCGTGCCGGCATGGGATGGTCTGCCGGATGACTATCCCGCCGGTCTGAAAATTTCCGGCCACGGTTCATCGAAATTTTCAGTGCCGTCGGATTTACGCACTGAGCAGTCCCGTATGGTGCTCACGTTCGGGAAAATTTATGGTCTGGCCGCGAACCAAAAATGCGAAACCCAAACAATCTCGTTTTTCTCTCATTCCCCGATTTTCCTCATTCCCAACAAGGGGAATGGGGGGAAAGGGGGGTGGGAGGTGGGAGGTGGGAGATGGGAGATAGAGGAGATAGAGATGGGAGATGGGGAGATGGGTGATGGGTGATGGGTGATGGGTGATAGAGGTGATAGAGGTGATAGAGATGGGAGATAGGAGATGGGAGATGGGAGATGGGAGATGGGAGATGGGAGATGGGAGATGGGAGATGGGAGATGGGAGATGGGAGATGGGAGATGGGTGATAGAGGTGATAGGAGATATGAGATGGGAGATGGGTGATGGGTGATGGTTGATGGTTCTTCAACCGACCATTCGGAGATTTCTCGGACATGTTTGGATTTTTCTCGGACTTGTTCGGAGATTTCTCGGACTTGTTTGGAAATTTCTCGGACCTGTGCGCAGTATGTCGGACCTGTGCGCAGTTTCTCGGACTGTACGGACGCAGTTTCTCGGCCATGTGCGAAATCTCTCGAACATGTTCGGATTTTTCTCGGTCATCCGACGAGTTTCTCCGATCATTCGGAGTTTCTCGGTCTGTAGAGGCGGACTAGAGGGTCATGGTCGGAGAAAATTCTCGGATGAACGGTAATTTCCGAGCATGTTCGAGGTTTCTC